AAAAAAAAACCTGTCACCAATTTGATTACTTTCCAGAGATTTTTTAATACCTAAAACCAAGACACTAATTTAATCTTCACAGATATATCTTCACCAAAAAGTTTTTCAGATTTTGTTTTGAAGAACACAAATGCACAAAGAGGTTTGTTACTAGAAAACATGTATCTTTAAGAGTCATCTTATAAAATTACTAAAACCAAAGATGGATGGGAAGCAACATTTACAGAAAAATGAACCTGAGCTTATCACTTGCATTTCCTTCTATACAAAATGAAACTTAAACAGAGGCCCTTTTCTTTCAGACATGTACGTGATTGTAAATATCCTTGCAGTGGCTCTGTGAGTACAGTGTATATCATCAAGAGCATATGTATGTATTGCTTAGGCTGATTTTTCCCTATTTGTTTGTGTTACCTGTGATTTAACTCGCTCTGTATCTGAATTCACTGTTCATAGGAACTTGGGAACAGAGACATACAGAATGTGGCCAGTGGGCTGTGAAACGACATTAGGAGAATGCTTCCCTCTCACTGCATTTTAATTCAGAAGTGGATGGACTGGGGTTTGTTACGTTAGTTTTGCTTTTGCTTAGTTGAACACAAGGGATAAATATGCACTGATAAATAAATTTTCTCAAATAACCTATTATGTCTGGTAAATACCAGACATTAATTATTAAGTGTATTGTAAATAACTCACTCTTACCAAGGCCATGTAGTGTCCACCTTTATGTGTGCGCTTTGAAACTCACGCTGTGTTTCTGTGTAGGCGACTGTGTACAACGCAGACAATCAGGCTTTTTTTTTTTTCATCCATATTGTGTGTTTAGCTGCAAATCTGAAGGCAGAACTGTACACCACGCGTTTGCTGCATGGCCGTAACTGGATGGTTGAAGCAGGCCAGACTTTTTTTTTTGCTGTTTCTGCTGGGCAGCCAGCACATTCTGCAGTTTTTAGGATGGATGCCCAGCAACTATGTCTGCCTTTTTCTTCCCACTTTTGTGTGGCTATGGTAAGGACACTGTGGTCTCTCTGCTTGCTTCCGGCAAACGTCAGGAGCTCAGGAAGATGTAGGTTCTTGTCTCTCTTGCCCTTTTTTAATGCTGAGTACAATCTGTTCTGGGACAAGATCGACTAGAATGCAAACAAGATAAGGAAAAATTACCTTTTTGTCCTTTAGTTTTATCTCTTGGAGAGAAGGTCATATGGGTAGTGGGTAATAATGTTAAATGTGAAGCTTTTTGTAAGGTATATAAATGATGTATTGGCATTTTGACAAATCAACAGACTTCTGAGTGCTCTAATAATATTCCTATGACACTTGTGGATCAGGTTACTAATATTTTAAAATGAAATAGTCTTTCTCATTTAAAATAAATAAAAAGCTATATTCCCTTCTTATGCAAAAGGTAAAGTTCCATTGCTGTTTTCTGTTGTCTCATTTTCCATAGTGTTGTATGTTTGCTTTCTTTTTTCATATATTTTCCTCCTTTTGTTTCATATATACCTAAAAGAAATTACTTGAAGTCCATCTCTCTTTATGCAGTAGTATGGATCATCGTTTAATTTTAGAGTCCTTATCTTCTATCTAAAAAAGAGTGAGAGCCTTCACTAGCTTAATGTTGACAAAGAAATCACTTTTTCCTAATACAAATTTCTTCAAAGATCAAACCTTTTGAATATAATGAAAGAAAAAAACTTCAACTCCCATAAATTTATTTCTTTGGGGCACATTGTGTGATTCCTGTCATAAAGCTTCATTTTTAGTTTCACCTCTAAGCTCATCATACCAAAGACAGCACTTAGAATCAAAACACAACATCTTTGCTTTATTGATGGCACCTATATGGACAAAAAATGAGAAAAATCTCCTGAAAAATTATGGCTAAACTTAAATTTGAAGTGTTAAGGAGGAAGTACTTTTCTAGATGTATTTACTTCTAATTGTTGCAGTTACAAAGAATTTTAAAATGTACATTCGCATATATATTTGTCAAGTATGTAGTTGCTGATATAACATGCTGACAGCTGTGTTACTAAATAATAAAATGCATATGCTCAATAATGAATACTTCATTTTAAAGTTGCATGATATAGAAGGGCTAAATATATTACCACAGGTTTGCATTTCACTTACTTGGTTTATAATGTGAATCTAGTTCAGGCTTACTGTTAATTTATATGTGAATTTTGCTTTATGTATGGGAATAGATACTGCAGGGAAGGATGCAAGCTTTCTTTTAAAACTATTATTTTTTAGCTGTGCAAAGGGACTATGGGTAGGGTGATTGCAAGTGTCTGGTATAGAGCACAGGAGTAGGACCTGTGAGACCTGGCTTCTCTTCCAGTTTCGCCATTAGTCTACCAGGTAGCATGGAGGAAGTTGCTTCATAATTCTGCACCTCAACTTTCCCACTTCAAGTTGGATATAATCATACTGCTCTTGTAAAACACTTCACAATTGAACAGTTCTAAGTAACAAGTTATAATTATTATTTTCTTTTTAAAAGACTTGCTACTACATAGTATATGCAGTCTAGATTAAGTGATGAAGCTGTTATCTGTGTGGTATACTGCAGACTACAGGGTACATTTCATTTAACATGCACTTTTATTATACATCATAGGCTCAGCAGTATTTTTTTTGTTCTTTCTCTATGGAGAAGTGATAGGGAACATAAGAATACAGGAATGGTCTGTAGAGATAAGTGTATTGCAATTTATTCTTGTGTTACTGGCACTGAATACTGGAGCAGATTTACAAGTGGAATTTGCAGGGGAAAAAAGTTATTATTGTCCCCATCTGTAAGGAAAACTGGTCCAGTGATTTGGACTGTACGACATAATTTAAATTCAGTTTCCTGTTCAATTGCAGGTTTCCTGTATTTCCTTAAGCAATTCACTTTTCTGCACAGTGCAATTCTCCAATCTGTAAAATAGGAAAAGCTGTATTTTCCAGTGTGCAACAGTTGTAAATCCGGGCACAAAAAGCTGGTAGGGCACACTGATACTACAGCTTCAGGGGCACAGAAGTATGGTGGGTAGATGCACGAGGCTTTGGAAAGACAAGAGAAACTTCCAGAAATAAGTAAGTGAGCTAAGAGTTCAGACAATGTGTGCCTGGAGTTGGAAATATTAGAGAAAAACAAACGGGGTGAGGGAGACTATAGAGGAAGAGTGCATTTTTTCCTTTTCATTCAAAAATTTCTGGCAAACTGTCTTGTGCATAGTCTTTGTGGCCACTGCCCTGATACATGAAGTTACATGTACAAAATCTACTTCTAAGCAAAAAATAAATGCTAAGATACATATATGTGTTTTTTGAGGAACAATAAAGTGTAAATGTTAAATTTACTGAAAAAGCATGTAGAGAAAAATAAAACTCATTAAGTAAGATCAAGTGCTAAGCATTTCCTCAGTAAATCTTTTTTAAATTGCAAATTTAACTTGAGAAATACTTTACAGATAAGCCCACTTTTGTTTCACAGTAGTCAGAATGAAGTCAAGTGTTATTTGAAAGAGCTGCTATACAGTATATTAAATAATGAAGATGCTGACACAGCCTAAACTGTAGTAGTTCTTCTAATTACTGCACTATGCCATGCTATATTGTATCACATGGCATAATTTAGTGTATCTTTCTTTATCAATGTATTACTCATCACTTTACAAATTACAAATCTTTTATAGGAAGGTAATTTGTACTTGGACATAGCGTTAAAATGATGGAGTGATTTCCTTTTTTCTCAATCATTGATCTTTCAAACTTTTTCATTTAGCCATATTAATCATGTTTATTAGCCAAGTGTTGTCATAAAGAATGGAATTTTTCTTAGTTTCATATTCAATTAAAATGGTGGTTTTTTTGCTTGCTGCCTCTATCTGCTGCATCACAGTAATCTATTTACTTACTCTAACTCAAGTTCTTGTTCATAAATTCAAAACAAAGTCAATACTGCAGTTACACACTTTCATAACGATCTATAATCTAATTGAAAATGTGGGGTTTACCTGAGAGGGGAGTGTACTTAAAATGCCTTTTATTCTAGAAAATATTCCATCTAACTTTTTAGGGTCGTTTGTTTTGTGGATGAGGTGTGTTTCAGAATTCACTAACATGGTCTATTTAACTCCTGTTTGAAAGGAATTTGTTGTTATTCAAGTGTGTGAGTGTAATACTGAAGAAAGCTACAGTCTGCAAAATTGCTGCAGAACACCCTCTCTTCAGAAGACCAAACAGATATTCTAGACCAAACACAAGTACTTAGTTTGCTTTACTGTGGTTTTGTTGTAGACAGTAATTACTGTGCATAATAGATACCTGGACTCTTTAAATTCCTGAATAGTGATAATTTCCAAGCCCAACCTAATGCTTGGCTTGTTTAACCTAGCAAAGTGAAGTGCTTCACTTAGGACATCCCCAAGATCAAACCCAGCAGTAGAGGAAAAGCAATTTAAGCTCGAAGATAACGTAGCAGCAGGATAAAGTTCAGTAACCTGTTCAGGGATGAATTTAAACTAGAAAGCTAGGAGCGTTGGAGGGAGTGAATAGCAGCGTGACTCTCCGGTAAGATGAACGGCGGTGAGAGACTTCACAAGCCCCAGGATGGACACCTGTTAGTCTCTGGCAGGGACTGGGTGGCCTGATTCCCTGTGATAGCAGGAGATTGTGATTCAGTGTCTCACATGTTCCCTTTATGCCTTCTTTACTTAATTGTTACTGATGTTTACTTGGATTATTTTATCCTTAAACATTTAGCTTTGTCTGTTTCCAGAAGCTAATGTTGTGAAGGTAGCTGATGCTGAAAGTTTCTGATCATATTTTTTGCCTGATGCATATTTATTAATTATTTTTTTAAAAAAGTCAAGTGTAGAATTCAGGTGCTGTGTTTGTCCTGGGTGCTTGGCTATGGTAGAGTATTAGCTCGTTGCTAGCCAAACAAAATGTCTTTTAAAGAAAAGTATATGCCATTTATGGTTTGTTTGTGCCCTGTTTTGCAGGTGGGAGTGAATCCTCCTGGGATAAAGACAAGCTTCAGTCTCCCATTACAACGGGATCACAGCACAGCATTGGTCATCCCACACTGTCAGGGCAGTCAAGCCTTGGAAGTGCTCACCCGCTCAGTCCTCTCCAGCAGAACCATCTGCTCACCAACAGTACGTACTGTGCTTTAGGGTAAAAAAAAGTATGTGAAGCCCTGCTCAGAGGCTGGTCTTGCACTCTTTCCCATCCCTCAGAGGTGGGGGAGCTGGATGGGGAGACACACGACCAACAAGAGGGTCAGTCCTCCCACAGTCTCCTGCACTTGTGCATCATGTCCAAGCTACCCATTGGGGTACAGCAGCCCACAGCTGTGTTAGGGACTGGCCTTAATTAACATTTCCATGGCCTGGACTGAAGGGAAAAATAACCATAAAGTTGCTTAAAATTTTGGCTATATGAGAAAATTCTCTTCCAGGTGAAAATGCTGACCACCAAATAAAAACAGGAGAGCCAGGAATAACTGCAAAATGTCTAGTTAAAAGTGAGCAGAAGCAATCCCTCTGCCTGCTTGTACCTGCCAGATGCAGGCAAGGTCATCTATTGAACCCAGCAATCCAAAGCCACTGGAATAAAATGACACAGATAAATTCTGGATTTGGAACCTAAAGCTCCCTTCAAACCCGTATCTTTTCCTTCCCTTAGGAAGGGGGCAGTGGGAAGCCAGCAGTTCCCCCTCTCCTTTACACCCAAAGAGGGAAGGAAAGGAAAAGAAAGTTACTCCAAGAAAGATGTTCAGGATTAATATTTTTAAAATTATGAGTAGAGTTAATTCTAACACATGATGGATGAAGAATGAAAATCTCACTGTTTCTGAATTCTTATTTGTTTAAGCTCTTTATCCTCAAAGTTTTGAAAGTTGACTTTTGGTGTTAGTTTTAATGGATAAATTACATTTCTGGCTCCTAACACAATTTCAGGAGTAGATAGTTCCTTGCCACCTATGTACAGCCCCAGACCTGAACAAATGAAAGCTATTGAACTGACTCCTACCATATGGGTCTGCTTTGTTCATAGGGAGGTATGGGCATTTTGGGTTAAGTGTTGGTAGTTAAGAATCACAGATCACAGGACTGAAAATCACTGTAGTTTATCCTTTCCTTTTATATTCTCGCATAATTCAATACCCATATGTATTTTACATACAGAGATACTGTTTGCTGTTAAAGAAAACTTTAAAGGTATTTTCCAGTAGATTTTGAAGTAGGCAAATATCTATAGGCTATTAAAGGGTTTACTGAATGTCAGACAATTTGTCCAGTGATTTGCAAGTGTACGATATATTTTCTTCATAGTCCTCTGAAATGTTTGACGGATTGTGTCTTAAAACTGGTGATGTGCTGTTAAATTCTGTTTGTAGTTTGCATTTAGTTTGCATGTCAATTGGACTTTAAGTAGACATACAACTCAGTGTGGCCAGATGGTGTCTGGGAGTTTTGGAACTCTATAGAGTATGAGGAAAGATTATTGGGCTGTTAAGGGAGATATGCAGGGGAACAAAGGCTTATGGTTGTAAGCACTGAAAGGGATTGTCAGTATGGTTTAAAGTGAAGGGAGATGTATGGGCAGTTTGCTTATCACCTATCATAATTAATATTGGCATGGAGCATCACATAAAATATATATTGAATCATAAGACATCACAGTTGTTGATCATGATATATTCAAGTTGAACAGAAATAGAATGGGAGCTCAGAATATATAAAATTCTGCCTTTTCTGGTGGGTGCAGTGGTGTTTTTTTATTCTTTTTCTGAAAAAATATTTTTTGATTCCCAAAGTAGCTATCTTCAAATGGTCTTTCTAAAGAATTCTTAAACACAAAATAACCTGAAACAATTTTTTCAGTGAATTGGTGTCTTGGTCTTGCTTTCCATTGTAGTCATTCCTAAATACAGCAAGTAATGCACATGCTGAAATAGATCTTAATGAAACATGAGAATCCAGTTCTTCTGTGTATATGAACTAATAATATTAGGAGGACTTGGTAGGAGTATATTGTCAGATAAAATTATTAATAAATATTTGCCTGATATATGGAAAATCACGCAAATATCTGCATGTTTTGTGTTTTTTTCTTTATTGATATTAATAAAGAGATCACTGAACTTATGCACTATTGTGTATTTGTTTTGCTAATATTGTGTTACTTTACAACTGTATGTTTCTTTCCCTGATAAAACCATACAGTCTTTTCTGGAATACAAAGACAATTATTCCCTATGTAACATCAAAATTATTAACACATAATAATGTCAAGTTTGGCTAGTCAATGTTCCAGTAGAATATAGACTAAAAATGAAGGTGTGGGACTGACACATACAACCTGCCCGTGCTCTCTTTCAGGGATAGACCTGCCGTTTATGATGATGCCCCACCCTCTGCTTCCCGTCAGCCTACCTCCTGCTTCTGTCGCAATGGCAATGAATCAGATGAACCACCTCAACACGATAGCAAACATGGCTGCAGCAGCCCAAATGCACAGTCCTCTTTCCAGGGCAGGGGCCTCTGTTATCAAGGTAAGAGTCATCTATGAGACGTAGAAAAAAAATAGCTTTTTGTGGCTAACAAAAACATTTACAGTGGCTTTTTCAGGAAGGTAACTGAGAGGCAATGAGCTTATACTGCCTATAGCACACCTGGTCTGTTGTCTGATAGTGCTTCAGTCTGAGGAAATACCCACGAGTATAGTCAAGAAGTTAAGATGCTCTGCTCTATAAATCTGTAATGTAATTAAAAACAGATACTAACACTCACTAGAGGCTAGGGGAATAAGCATTGCTGCATCTGTTAAAGCTCAAAACCTATTCTAAAATCAAACTTAATGTTATACTTAAAATGCCATAGAACGTAATAGGAACTCTGGTGCGGTGCAATTCTACAACAGGTTAATAGCAGAGAAAATCATCAGAAGTACCTTAGTGAGTATGGTCTTTGGTAGCCACACCTACATTTCCTTCTGGCTGGATAAAATGTATTTCAACTTTTGAAAGGCTTTTGATAGTCTCTTCCAAGCAGGTAGTTAAGAAAGTTTCATGCCTACATTGAGAGCTGAAGTCCTGCCACACACTAAAATATATGTTCAGACAAGAAATCCTCAAAGTAGAAGGATATAGAATCAGTGCACGTGAAGGATTGGTGCTATGGGGTTTCCTATTTTTATTGAGCAAAAAGGAAAGGTTTTATCAATCTAACTTGTGTGTATTTGCATGCATGCGTATGTTTCTTGTTGACAAAACAATTTTTTTTATACTTTGAAAGGTAGTTACTTTAGTCCATTTTTCTTTGTTTTGAAATATATGAGTCTATAGAGCTATCAGTTCTGGAAAATACATGTCTTTTTATTTGTATATTTATATTTATGTGCACTAAAGTATCCCTATCGTTCTGGAATCCCGAAGTTATGAGTTGCTCTATTTAAATAACTTTCAGTGATTTGCTGAACTTAATCTCTTGTATCTTTATAGTAAAACATCTTAATTATAAGGTATCATTGTTTTATCATTGAGAAGTTACTGCTGTCAATATTACAGGCTGTGAGAATAAATTAGTTAGGATCGTGTTATACTTTCTATTGTGATAGCTTGCTACTTGCAGGAAGTCTTGTTTCTACATCAAGCAGGAAAAAAAACCTACATAACCACATGTTTATTTTTCATACTTATATTTACTGATACCAACATACTTTCAAGGAATAAAACACATCTCTTTTCTCACATTACAGTAGCCAGTAGCGTAAAATACTTTGTGCCTCTGTTGCTGAGGTTCTGGAAGTCTTAGTTTTTCTTCTGATCTTCTTCCTGGTCCTGAGCATCTCCAAAATTGCCTCAGGTTATTTTCCTACTTTACTGAGAGTCCATTTCCAAATTAGGGCAAATGTTGTTCTTAATACTTTGATTTTATTTTCAATTTGTTTTCTTGGATTCAGGGAGGCTGGTAAAATTCAGGGGTGGGGGCATTCCACAATTAGAGACTATTTAGAATTAAGATCTGGAAAAAATTGTCCTTATCATCGGTGTGTCTGCAACAGTTGTTGACTGGGTGGGGGAAACATGATGTCTAATGTCCAACTGTCTGCAAATTAATGCTAGTCACTGAATTGTTAGAAATTAATTGAGCTTCCATTCATTTCACTCAGTAACCTTTTCTTTAACTGTTCAGAGACCTCTTGAGAAAACCGTAACTTAAATATAGCAGTGGAATATTTGTAGCAGCAAGTAGACTGCATAAGCTTTTATTATATTTTAAATGCTATCAGTTTATCAAAATGAAGATTAAATATATATTGGTAAACAACACTAGTTCTTGTAATATAAACTACAGATTTTGCAAGCAGTTAGGTTTAAGGGTGCTTTTTAGCATCTTTTGCACCTTGCTGATGCTAGTTAGTCATTTACAGCTATTTTTTCCCCAACACCTGCACTAGAGGATACACAGTATCTCCACAGCAACAGTAGGTCTCACCAGCACTCTAGTGGGAATTATTTCCTCTACATGATGTAGAGGAAAATGCACCAGTAGCTAATGTGACAGAGGTAAAGTGGGCATCCATTGCTGTGTTACTCTCGCTTGTCAAGTGATGCTGCATCTTTCTCTCATTTGTTCTGAATGCTGAGACTGTAGATGAATTTTATTACAGAGAGTGTGAGACTCCTTTTGTCCTTTTCATCCCTTATGTACGATCATCTAGCTCTGCATGATGATCAGTTAAGATGAAATCCTTGAACAAAACAACATTTAAAAGAAAAGCAATGCTGCTGTTATCTGTCAGCAGTATTACTTTTATTATATGACATTATTTAAGGGCATGTAATAAGTATAAAAAATGACTAGTATAGATAGACTGTATTTCCAGCATCATAACATTACTTAAAATGGGAGAAATGAATATATTGAGTGTGTATCTATTTCCATACCCTGATGACTAAAATACTCCTTGGCCTGTTTTCTATAGGTGTGAGAATCAGTTGCTTTATAAAGGTTTTGAATTAAGTCATTATGCTTTTTATATCACATTTGCCATTTAGAAATAAGGTGTTCTACCAAGATATGCATGATCAGCAAAGTTAACATTTAGTGCTCCAGAAAGAAATGTCATAACTATGAAACTTGATTTCTTTCTGACAGGAACACTATAAATTAGGCAGGCACAATGGCCAGGCTCACAAAACCTTCTTAGCCATCTGTAATATGATCTGATGTGATTATAGCAGCACCCCTAGCAGTGCTACAGCTACAGTTCTGACAGTGTCCCTCTAATAAATCGAGCGTTTCAGGGAATTACTGCACATCTGAAAGCTTGCTCCATTTGAGACTTGGCTCAAATGGTTCTGAAGAGTCTGTATAGTTGAGGGCGTCGTATGGCAAAACAAAAATCTGATATCAACACTGACTTCACCACCCTTTCAGTTCTCCCTCCTGCATCTACTCTCCTCTTAGTTCTTTTTTTCCAGAGCTGTTCTTCAGCTGGATGAACTCTGCAATCCAGTTAGTGGCCAAGATGTAACACGCTTTGCCAGCCTGGTCTTGAGGACCAGTCTGGGGTGTAGCTTAGCTAAAGTACACTTGAATCATGGTTTAGGTTAGAAACAGTAGTGAATAAATGCAGTAGTTGACTGTCATCCAAGAATTTTGTTCCTGAAACTCAGAAAAATCTATTCGGTGACGATATTTTCAGGTCTTCAGAAGGGAGGTTTGGAAAGGTCCTTTATACAAAAGTGAAAAGATTTTTCCCCAAAGTTGATAGAACAACTCAACTCCAGAAAGTAATAACTACATAACATTAAGATTTTTATTCTAGGGTGGACCTACAATTAATATGACTTATTATGTAACAAATGAATATGACTATTAATATACGTTCACAGCATATCACACAGTTTATCATAAAGGAGCTATTAAGATGTATGCTGAGAACCTAAGTTGAATAAAATGCTGAAAGCACACCAAAATCTTAAGAGATCATTTAAATTCATTTGCGTCCAAAGGAGTTGAGACCTCAGCACATAACACAGATGGCAAATACTCAAAGAGGTGTCACAGCAAAAATGGGACTGGCTCTTGTGTTCATTGACAGTACTTTTGAACCTTGGAATCAGACCATGCCCCTATAACAACTGTGTCCATAATGGAACGAGGCCTCGAGCTATGCACAATAACGGTATCAGCAGTGTAGTATCATCAAGCCTCGAGTTCTCAATTTATACAGATTAAACCAGAAGGGTTTATATGACTAAAAAACATACTAGCTTACACAGTTTCAGCTAAAAGGCAGGGAGGGATCAAGGGGGAAGTTTGGGGTTATGAAAGTATAAGGAGATTTGGCAAAAGCCAAGTTTCTGGAGCTGTGACTATGTCAATCTTTGTATATTCACTGAAAGGCCACTTTCCCAGGTGGCCTTTGAATCAGGTTGGTGCGAGATACTGTGATTAGGGTGGGACTCAAAGTGTGGAAACCGAATCCAAACCTGGGGCCTTATGCTGCTCCCTTTTGTATTAGATATTAAAATGAGTACCAAGAGTACAGTAATGAGGGCCAAATCTCTTAACCCAGAGATTTGAGAGGCTCGCTCACACTTTTCTCCCAATTTTCCCTTGCTTCCTGTTCTATTCACTGCACATACTTTGCACTTTCCTTGCTCCTGTTCCTCATGTCTCACCCATGTCCTCCATCTCTCCTTCTTCTTGCTGTTCTCTCCCTTTCCTTTTGGTCATCTAACAACCTCTTATGCTTCTCCCGAGTAGGAGTATTTCTGCAAATTGTTTTCCTGCTGTCCATTTTTCTTCTGTCATCATTCCCTCATGCTTGCTGTATTCCTACTTTTCTGTTATTCTTTCTGCTCTTATCCAGGTCCAAATTAGGAATAAATAGCACATTTGCTGAATTCAGCTGGAAAACCCAGAAAAAGAGAAAAGAAGTGAAAACCTAATTAAACCACTTTCTTTAAAAAAACACTCAAAGCATTTTTATTTCGTATTTGAAATCCCATTTCTTCCAGAATTTCACCCTGTGTACTTCAGAAACAAATTAAACCCCACCCACTTCCTCTCCACTCCCCCCCCCAAAAAAAGGAAGAAACAATAGAAAATGACATTTTAGGTGAAATGCAAAGTTTTGTTAGGGAAATTGAAATCTTGTACTTCACATCAATGCTACACAATTTGCATCTGAATATTTTGGTCTATTGATAAATAGAACAAAGCATTATTTGTGTAATGTGATCTAGACATGCAGTAGAGATTTTTGAGTCTCCTTTTCTTTGCCTGCTGTTCTTCTCCTGATTTTGTGGGATTGTTAAAGCATTTGTAAAGGATGTATATGACATGATTTTAAATTCCCTAAAGAGAATACAGATGGGCTCTGTAATTATTGCTGAGAGGTGCTATTTTCTGTGTGCTGTACAACTCACATTCATAATATTTACCTGACAGCCAGAAAAATGTGGCCATCTCAGAAAATTCTGAAACAGTTCTTCTCAGTATGATAAAATTTCTCATTACAGAATTTATAACGTATTTA